TAAATAGAGTTAAAGAAATATTCCAATATTTTTTAACCTAGTCTCTTTTTGCTGCATGTGTATTGTATTATCAGTTACCATGGAGAATAATTTGTCTGTACTTAGAAAAGGACAGAAGTCCAAGGACTCAAAAGAGATGGAATAGAAGCCAATGGGTAGTTGTTTCAGCACCTGCCCATTGGATTCTATTATATTTCAAGTCATCATGTTTTCTGTTTTTTCTGCTAACTGCAGCGTAATGAATGGATTCACTGCAAAAAATGGCATCTTGATCTTTAATCAAAATATTTCCCATGTTGAGATGGCTGTCCACTTATTGTAAGATTATCTAGCTTATTTCTGGACATTTTTACTTGTTTTAAGTCATTTTATTAAGTAAAATGATCTCATTATACTGGCAGATAATTTTGCTCATTTTAAGCACATTGATTTAAAACAAGCAAAATTATCTGCCAATATAGTGAGATCATTTTACTTAATAAATTACTTAAAACAAGTACAAATGTCTAAAAATGAAGTTAATGATCTTAAATTAAGATTAACAATCTGAACAGGAGAAATATTAGATGTATCGTCTAGATTTAAGATAATTTTACTTGACAAGATACCATTTTTGCAGAGTTGTCTGTAGTTCTCAATGGTATTATTGCCTGTAGTAATCAACACTATGCTACAGATGTGGCAGCTAGAGGAAGTCAAAAAAAGCTGAAGTACTCCTTTAACTCTTGGCTACTATTGTACATACAGTATAAGCACAATGCAGCACAATGGCAAAGTTCAAACAGGATCACGAGAGATACAAATGTAACATGACAGATAATACAGACAACAAAACAGCTTATAAATACTTAATCCTGAATGATTCTTCAAAACATGTATTAGCAACATATTAAGATATGGTCAATGACACTGGAACAATTCCAACTGCCTTTTCCTTTTTTCCCCACATTTAATGATCAAACTGCACTGGTCCTTCATTATAAACCAAAGATCTGAATAATACATTCAATATGGTAAAGCATACATTTGACAAAATACTGACCGCTCATGAATTCATTCATATTTCAGGTGAGTTTTGTCTCCGTTCAGCTTTGCTATGAGAGACAGCGGGTCACCCTAGAGGCACACTATTCTCCATTTCTATCTACCATTCACTAAACAGCTATTCTACAAACTGCTAAGAGCTCTGACAATGTTATAGACCATTTTTTAGCACATTTTGTATATTATTCTTTTTTAACTCTGCACTAAATTTATGCACAGGTGCTTCATTCATCTATTAACAAGCACAAACTGAACTCATTTCAGTCTTCACTGACTCACTACCATTCTCTATATTTAATGATAGAACATGATGGCATATTTACTACCTATTTTAATCTAATAGTCTAATAATAACAGCCTTTTTTCACCATTTTAAAGCCATAACACCATAGAAGAAAAATTCCAACACACTGTGATCACTCTTAGCTGAAACATTGAACTGAATGGAGGGCAGTGTTGGTTTGACTTATCATCGCTGTCATAACGAAACCTTGTATGCTTGAGATGGTAACTTTTGAAAAGCATTACATAAGAGGTTCTTCAAATGTTCTTTAGTAAAAGCAATGGGGATGTATACAGTCATGAGCAAAAGTCACAAAGAGACCATTTCCAGTCAAAACGGCAATTAAGTACAAAATATTCATTTCTCAGAAGATATTCTGAAGGAGATCTGTCACCATCAGATAACAGTACACTCTTAAATAAGACAATGGTACTGTATACAACCATGAGCACTGAAAGAACCATTTGCATTCTTAAAGGGTCACTTTGTGAAATCGTTCTTCAGATTGATAGAGATTGTGTTGAAAATGGTTCTACATAGCACCAAAAAGCATTCTATTATTATGATGTCAAGCTTGTAACAACAGGAGAACCCCTTTTGGTGCTACATGGAACCCTCTTCAAAAGGTTTAATATAGAACCGTATACAACACATTCTCCATCAATCTGAAGAACCATTTTACAATGCCAAGAACCTTTAAGCAGTGCAAATGGTTCTTTAAGTGTCCATGGTTCTATATAGAACCAGTCTTTATTAAAGAACCCTAGAAGAACCATCTTTTTTAAGAGTACTTAAATCTTTCATCTTTGAGAAACAGAAGAATATCAAGCTCCATTCTTGAAGAGAAATTTGCAAACCAATCAAACAAGCTGGGGTTCTCAGAACAACCATTTCTGAGTCCAGACCTCAACATCAGTGTTGTGTTCAGGAATGAGTGTGTTTGGGATTACTTGGATTGTAAGAAGCAAAGTGCAACCAACTTCTAAGACTGAACTTTGGAGGTGTGGGGAAAAATCCCTGCAGATTTCTGTCTTAGGAAAATCTTGCAAAAAACTGAAAGCAAGTCTCCTGAAAAGAATGGATGCTGTAATAAAATTGTGCACACACTTAGTACTGAATCAATTAATATATATATATATATATATATATATATATATATTTTTTTTTTGCTGATGCTATAAAATTCTCCGAAAAAGTCTCTGACCTTTGCACAGTACTGTAAAACCAAAACAACTCAAATAAATATTTGAATGCTTAAATGGTTCTTTGCAAGGTTAAATGGTTATTCTCCTGCACTCTTGATTACAACAGTTCTATGTAGCACCAAAAAGGGTCCTGCTATTATTGCCAGCCAAACTTTATGGGACAATATAGCAGTTGTTGTCAAACAGGTCCTCAGGGACCCCCAGACATTCCACATTTTTGCTTGATCATAACTCCCAACAAAGAGGAATAGAACAAACATATGAACTGTCTGGGGGTCCCTGTGGACAGATATAGCTGCTATATAGAGCCCTTTTTGCTAAGAGTGCAAGAACAGGAATTTTTTTCTTTAAAGTACTTTAATCTAATACGATCTGAAGTCATTTTGGGGCATTTCTATTGGTCCATTTATCAGGAAATGTTGAAAAACCTGAAAAGGGGGCTTACAAGGGATCTTATGACAGCAATGTTATGCTACAGGTCACTTAACATGGAGAGTCAAATGGATCTGAACTATCCTGCTCCTTGTCTGATTGTCTTTAAGAGGTATTGTTATAGTAAGCTGTGGCGCAGGTGTTAGAAATCAATATCATGCTGCACTTCATGTGTGGAATGTATGGATGCAAACCTGAGAATAAAGAGAAATCAAACACACTCTCACGAGAGCTTTAGCCACTGCACAAAGAGTGACAACGACTGTTCTATATCTATGAAACACTGAAACACTGCACTGTAATCAACATCTACATCAGAGCTGTTTATCTGAACCCACAGATTCTCCTACCCTCCTCTTCTCTCCCACTTCTTAAAGATAATGTACAGTACCAGTCAAATGTTTGGGCACACCCGATCAGATTAATGTTTTTTCATCATCTGAAAAATAGTTTGATCAAAGTACTTGACATTTGTTGTGAAGTTGATGTGTACATTTACTTCACTCAGTGTACATTTACTTCCAATATAGTATATATATATATATATATATATATATATATATATAATATATCGAGAGAATATCAATTTTGTGCAAAGCTGTATCAAAGCAAAGGGCATGCTTGTTTGAAAACTTTTAAATATAAGATAGCTTTGATTTGTTTAGGGCTGCCAATATCATTATATTACACACACACACACACACACATTGTCCAAGTTGCTCATCCTTCTGGGTCACAGGGGGAGTTGGAGCCTATCCAAGCAGTCATCGGACAGAAGGCATCATTATATTCCTTTATATTAAATGTTGAATGTTTTGTTTTTTAAAGGCCAAATAATACAAAAGGCCTTAACTGAACAATAACATACTATGCATAACCTTCTATTTCAGTATACTTTACTGAAACAGATTTTAAAGAAGCATTTAAAATATGTATATAAATAAAACACCATGTGGCAAAAATGTATAATATGTTACTCAATCAGGCTCTGTTTGTTATGACAATTTAAAATAAGTTTTTAAATAAGTTTCTGTTTGTTACAACAATTTAGAATAAAAAATATTTGCAGTTATCACCAAATTCTCAGTATTTTAAAACACTTTAAAATACTAATTATGCCAGGTTTGCATAAACAGCTACATTTAAAGCATTTGAAGCTTGTAACAGACACTCTAACGGCATTCTTTACTTTGTATGTTGCAGTTTTACAGTCAATCCTTCGGAAAAGCCTAACTGAACATTACTGCAGGAGTCTGTTAGCCTGATAACTGTCTACTAAGCTGTTTCCCAGACCTAGTTAAACAAAACCTTTCACTTCATATGCATGCAATTTGTAAAATTAAATTAAATATTAATACATTTGTGACAACAATGTACATGCTTTAGTTAGATCCTGCTGGTGTAGGTTTTCTCCCTTTCAGTAATGCACACAAAAGTGACTTGAGTGCTAACAGCTCCCCCCTTGTGGAGAATGTGCTAAGCGCTACTTTATAATGACCTGCAGATACCCTTTTTAACATTCAAACTGCTAGCTAATTGTTAAGCCAATTAATAGAGAATGTCAATTTTAATCAACTCTTTTTTATTGAGTCCTTGATTTATTGAACACTTATTTGATCACTGCATAACTCTGTAAGTGTTATTGTATGGTTTTGATAGTAAAAATTAGGAAAACTCTCCTTGAGTAGGTGTGTCCAAACGTTTGACTGGCACTGTATGTCTTTACAAGCTATGAAGTATTTGTTCACAGAGTAACTGCTGAGAGAAGATTCTTCTGTAAGCTAAACTAAAATGTATGCAGGCCATATTGGGGGGTCTCACTTGGGACTGAGCCTAAGTTTGAACGCTATTTTAGATATGATGCTTCCAGGCAATGAAGGGGGAAAATACACCATTGAGAATAAAGGTTCCTAAATGGTTCTTGGTGCAGTTGTAGGAAAAACCTTTAACTGGTATAGAACCTTTAACATTATGTGGAGGTTCAATAAACCTCTTCATTGTTGGACCTTTATTTTTAATAGTGTAGATTGGGGGAGGGGCCCGGGATACAAAGCTGAGCATTTAGAGCATTATGATAGGACTCATCTTCTCCCCTGGGCTCTGCTGGATGGGGCCCAGCTCAGGAAAGGTGGTTGTGATGGGTGTTTCTCTCTCTCTCTTTCTCTCTCTCCCACTCTCTGTGTGTCCCGCCCTCAGTCCTCGGCAGTTAGCTTGTCCTCTGGGGCAGCATTTGGGTCCAGGAAGTCTTGGTGTTGAAGGTCCTTCAGGTACTTGCTGGGAGTGATAGTGTGGGTGGAACCTGTGAAGGTAGATATAAAAGGTTACATGCTGTTTCCTCTTCAATTATCTGTCATTTTCAACTAGAAGTGGAAAGTGCATGCAGTCTTTTCTTATAATACACAAGAGAGTTATGCAACATCTGATAAACTCTTAGAATAAGAGCTATTTTGAATGACTACTGCTTTATTTCCAATTGTGTATGCTCAGAATATAATGTGTTCATATATCTTCAGAGCACTTTGAAACTTATGTATCTCCAATAGATACTAATATCAGAAGTGGGCCTACCAAACATGAGGAAAGTACATCCATCTTTGCATTTAACCCCGTTTTACCTAATGTGCAGCTCTGTGCTGGGATTTGATTTAATATCCAAAGAATTGGCTATTAAGTACAAATTATTCATACATTTAACAGAAAGTAACACAGAAGCCTCAAGAATTAAATATATCTTCACATTTTTCAGTATTTAGTGTGTCCACTCTTTACATTTATTTAGGTTTCTACATTTTAGTTGTGGCTATCGAAGTTACATTTTACCATCTTGGCTCTAAATAAGTCTCAGTATATGCTAATGTACTAGTCTAGTATATGCTAATAAATATAATACAAATGAAAACGCAGATGTACTTTGCTCTGCTTTGAGCCTAGGGTCAGCTATAGCTGCTTTTCTCGCATCTCCAGCAGGAAACCTTTTCGCAAAAGTAGAACAGTTTCTTGTAAAATGTCTCTCACTGTTCGAGTTTTTACGAGGCTGAATTCAGCTTGTTTTATTTTTACCTAAAAAGCTAATTCTGCTGTGGAGCTACAAGAGGGCAGTAAAAGATGTTGGCAACCCCTGGTTTGGTTTCTGATGGTGCCAGTTTTGGTGATCTACCAGCTCTTTGTATTGTTGTTAGGAGTCCCATTGTCTCTACATCTGTTAATCTCCAGTTATGGAAGCTCCTGCTATTTCACATAATTTCCTTGGACTTGCAAACAGATTTTCTTATATCTAACCTCCCTCAGACACATCTCCTTTAGCTATTTTAGATGCACATGAGAAATAAATCTGCAAGGCCATTAAGGTGAGTTTGGGAGCAGCCTTTGTTGGGTGGACACAGCTGTAACTTGATGGTTTTAAGATTGGAAGAATGGAAGAGGTAAAGTGGTAGTAGATGCACAAAGAGCACAAGAGGAGGATGAAAACTGAACACTGACAGATATGATGTACTTGGTGTTGGAGGCTTTTGAGTTTGTTTCTGTTAAATATATTTTGAAAATGAATAACTTAATGTCTGGTTTGACTGGAATTTAATAAAATGAATGGGCCGTCTCTGACATTTGCACAGTACTGTACATTCAGAGCCTTTGGCTTTGTCCCTTTCAACTAATTAAAATCTGCCCCAGAGTAGTGCATGCCCATGCTGGCCATAGTAAAATTTCAGCGTGTGGAATTTGGAGCTTTCTGTGTGCTACCAGGTTTTCTATCACTGTATAAAAGAAACACAATGCTGCCTTTTTTCAACAGAATAACAAAATAAGTTGAATGAGTGATGCATATTTCTATTCATGTGATTTCTTACTCAAAATAGTTTAAAAATCAAATCTTTTGGCTTTTTTGCATATCACATTAAGTGCAACCACAAATTTTTAAAGAAATTTTTAAAGAAGAGTAAAAGGCAGAAGTAGCCTTTTTTCTCCATGTCTATGAAGAGTTAATTTTCATCTTTTGAGCAAGGAAAGTGCTTCTGATCTATGCACCATTTTCCACAAAGTTGATATTGATATACATCTTCAAAATGACAGGAAATGATAGCTCATTTCATGGCAGATTTGCTAACACGGAAGACTACACTTTTGCTCCATTGCTCTATTCGAATCAATATAGATCAGCCAATGTGATGCTTTTTTCACCCAGACACTCGATACATTTCCCTTTTTTCTGCTGTGTCAATAGAGCTCTGAGACGGCACTTACTGAAGGCAGATGAGTCACGCTTGGGGCAGTGGAGGAACAGAGCCATTTCAAACGATCCCCACTTATACACACATATTCAAGAGATACAAAATATGAAAGGATCTTGAGGAGTGATAGAGACGTCTACTCTGGTATTTGCTTTAATGGCTTTTCTGTTATGGCAGGTCATGGAAAAGGAATGGTGCTTTTTCTTTGCCATTTACTTTGCCAGTAGCTTTCTACAGTATAGTTCAAAGAGCACACATATGCCAAAGCCAATTGAGCTTTGAGTCTCCACTCCAGCTCACCGATGAGGGCCTCCCATTTGCCGTTGGCCTGCGTGACCTCGTAAGCGCAGCGCATTTCGCTGTAGGTAACGCCCCCGACGATGAAGACGATGACTCGTGGACCCGTTCGCATTTCCCCAGGGCTTTTATTCTTGTGCCAGTTCCCATAGCGAGCACTGCAGGATGAGGAGAGTAGGGTCAGTAAAAAGATGTATGCTTTTATATGTGGGTATGTATGTGCATTTTCAGGCCAGAATTATGCTGACTGCTGTTGCTGGACAATATGGACAACAGAGCTATTCTAATCCAAAACAGGAATATTTTAGTACTGAGAACCTTAAATGGATTGGGGTCCTTTGTTTTTTATGCTATATTCAGGTTTTAGAGGAGTCATAAACTTACAGAGAACTGTCTGATGCCAAATATCCTAACATTTACAACTATTAGCCAAATTATCAAGTTGGTCAATCAAATTGGATCATAAGTCAATGTTAAGCACATTGTAAAATACAAATAAATTAAAAGCAGGCCCAAAAACAATACATATCAGTCACATTTTGCACTTTTATTCATATGCATATCATTGCTGTCTAAAAAAAACAAAAAAAAACAAAAACATGTACCTCCAAATGAAACTTTACAAGAAAAGGAAAAATAATCTTAACTTTTACTGTAAATTCATGTAAAGAGAATCTATTCCAAGTCATTTGGAGCATTTCCACTGATTCATTCATCATAAAGTATTTAGATAATTTATAGGACAGCTGCTGTGTTCAAATGATGAAGAAAAATAGAAATATAAAAATAGGCATATATAACAACAATGATATGCACAAAATAAATTTCATTGTACAATTTCTTTTTGTTTGCTGAGTTTAACGTATTAGGAAATAATAAAAAAATGTGCCATTTCTTTGGAAACAGGCCACATTTTATATATTCTTGTTCTAACCTGTTACATTTAGCAAATAAACAGTAATTGTGCATCAAAATGTGCAGAAGTGTGGTCTCTGTAGAGGATGTGTTAACTTATTTTCACTTAGAAGATCAATAAAACATGGAATTTGACTGGGGCACCCAAACTTTTTCATATGACTGTATATATGATCCCATGTCCTGTAAAGGTAGAAAAACAAATATGTGCGCAAGTCTGTGCATAATAGCTGGGCTTACCTGGTAGCTGTTGTGGTTTTGGCGGAGGCTGTGCGTGTGGAGATGTAAGGGTATTGCTTTGGGTCCAGTTTGTCTTCAATAGCATCCTGCAATAATCAATGGCATCAATAGCTCAAAATAAAAGACATAAACGTTCTTATCTTTTCGATAATCATGGCTGTTTTCTCCATCCATTCGAACATACCTGGGATCTTTAGCAACCTGGCACTTACATCTAACAAAAACTGATCTACTGCCAAAGTAGTATCAACCATTTATTCACAATAGACAAAAATATTAAAATAAATCATTTTGGTTGTGGTAAAAAGAGGAAATGAGGTCATGGGTTGCTAGCAACTCATGATATACATTTAAGGGGTAAGAGAGGAAACTGGCTCCATAAGGACAGAACTGGATACCTCCATGATATCTTTGACCAGAGGAGTCCATCTGGAGAGCTGGTAGGTCTGCTCACTGATTCTTTCTTTACGGTCAGCCTTCTTCTTACGTGTTGTGGTTTGCTGAATAACAAATATACCATAATCTCAAGCGTTGCACATCACATAGCACAGCGCTATAAACACTACATAGACACTGCCCATCAATAGTTTGGTGACACTGAGCTTTTCAACCCAAACCTTAAACCTAACCATAACCCTGGGCCAAGTTCTACTGAGTTTCACTAGGTAGCTAATTAACAACCGCAACATCAGTAAATGTATAGGAGACCATTCAATTAAAGTGAGACCAAAACCTGAAAAAGTGCCAGATGTATGTATGAGTGCAGATAGTTTAAATAGTTATCGATTTTCATTCTGTATCTATGAGTCTGAACTATCTATCTATGTGGTTTTTCACTTGTTTCAATGTCAAGCAATCACAAATGGGGCAAAAATACAAAGGTACAGTTATTTTCACAAAAGTCAAATCATCCGTCTGCACTTTTAACACAACCCTGATTGATTCAATGAGCTTTGAGTGAAAAATAATTAACATTGAATTTGTCATTGCTGACAATATTTGGAACTTTTGAAGGTTAATATTAAACCTGGTTATCACAAAGCAACAAAACACATGCTTCTTTATTAGAAAAAAAAATAAAAGCTAGCTGTAACCAAACTGTTGACTGGCTGAATATGTGCATCTTATTAACAGGGTAACTGTGAATAAAGTCAGTAGTGGAGAAATAGAGCTGAGCTAATCAGAACTACCTCTGAGATGATGGGAACTGCCATGTGAGCCATGTTGGAGATTATATCGCTGTCTTCTGGAGGGATCTGTGCGTGCTGCAGAAGCTTACACAGGTTCTCCTCCGTTACACCTGACAAATAGACGCACACAAGCAGAGCCAGGATGTAAGACCATTAGTGTAACACAAAAAGACAGCAGATAAATCTGAAAATATGAAGTAATCAGTATGAATTTAGTATCGTGACAGTCTGGCCTGACTCTGGATGCTCATCCACATCCACCTCACTCAGCCCAGAGCGTCAGGCCAGTCACACTGACGCCACACAGGAAATTAGATTTGTCGCCTTGAAGCAAGACTGTCTCACCATTCTTGAGGAAGATGTAGAGGAGAATGATGCGGATCTTGTCAAAGATGGACACGCTGGTGTCCAACAGGATGGGCACGATGGCTCTCATCGGATCTTTTATCTTTTCTCCTTCAGCATCTGAACCCATGGCCAGATCCTGAGTCAGAACAGAAGGCAATAGAGGGTCACATAGGTAATATTGCTATATTTGCTGTAGTCTCTTAGTAAAACACAGTCACATAAATGTGTCATCATTACTGAATACAGTTACAAAAAAGTTACATAAAAAGTATGTGAATTCCTTTGGAATTACCTAGTTTTCTGTATTAAATGGCCATAAAATGTATCTAAATCTCAAGTACAGACAATCACAATGTGCTAAAGCTAATAACAGACAAACAGTTATAAGTTTTGTGTCTTTATTGTGCACACCAATCATGAAGAATGGTAGGGCGATATAAGAGATTCTCAAACATAGCCGCCCATTCCGGGACAAACCCTTGTCAACTCCACCTCATCTTTTTCCCTCAGGGGAATCCCTGATGCCATCTTAAGGGTCATTCCATTACTTTATTAGCTCTACTGAAATTTGTTAGTTTGCCCACACAGACGTCAACTGACACTGATTTTCTTTTTTAAACCAGAAAAAAATGTTGGACAAAGCTATTTATCCCATACAGAAATCTGATACATGTGCATATACGGACATGTGTCACTAATGGTCAAGCATGTATTTCAAAATATATGTATGTTATGTACATATTTATCAAATAATGGATATATATTTATAATATATGGATCCTGTATATGTCTCTGATAGATGAGAGAACACATACATGTTATATGTATTATACATATATGTCTGATAAGTGGCTGAACACATATATGCATAATATATGGATCACATATATATACTGTCTGTCTGATATGTCTGATACATATATTTGATACAAACACCAAAAGATTTTTCAAGCAAAAAATCAAAATGAAATACATCAGCAACATTCATGCAATAAAAAAACCTTATATAACATGCCGCTAGCATATGTAATATATGCCATCAATATAGAAATATTTAAAAATGGCCAATTTCAAATAGTTTGGCATATATGTCACATATATGTCTGTATGTAAATATAAGCTGGATAGAAGGAAAATCCACAGATGCTAACAAAATGCTGAATCTTTCCAAACCATAACATCCTATTCGCTACGTTAAAAGTAGGATTTATGTAGCAAACTACTCAACCTGATATATAAGACTGCTGATGTGACTTTGTTGCTTTACTTTTCTTGCTAGTTAGCAAGTCAAAGGCTACACTACAGAGCTAGCAACAATTCTAAAGCAAAGCTTACAGCCAGGCATTGCAATTTGCAATTATTCACAAAATGCATGCACATGATGTTCAAACTTCTCAAACGTTCTTCATGACAAAGTTTGCATGGCTAGCTGATTAGCTCACTGTGGCCAAAGGGTGAGTGCATTACGCTCCTCGCTGTCTGCTCCTTGACTTGTGCTGTGAGTGGCACTTGTGTAGTATAGGTGTTTGCACTTCAGGGTGGTTGAGGGAACATAAAAAATGAAATGGGGCCCATGTGAGTTGTACCTGCTCCACACGGCACAGCTTGTCCACTGTGCCCTGATAGTGTTTCATACAGTCCTCTGCCAAGTGCAGATGAGTGGAGTACTACAGAGGAAACACAGTAACTCTCAGTCAGTCTCAGTGCTAAACACAGACTGGGAAAGTCTAGATTTTGTCAGAAAATGTCTACACGTGTGGTGACATGAGCTAGTGTGTGATCGCTCTACCTTGCTCAGTTCTTTCTGATACTGGGGCATCTTCTTCAGCATTTGGGACAGTTCCTTTATGGTGGTCTATAGGACACAAGCCCAAAGAGATAAAGCTATAGGTCTTCAACCACAGGTCAACAAAGAGTAACTATACTACAGATAAAAGAGAAAGAGCAACAGTACATCAGCTGCTAATGCACCTTTTCTCCCTGTGTTCATCTTCTTACTGGAAGAGAACTCCTTCAGTGATTTAGTTACAGCCCTGTGAGCAAAGAATTAAGACAGACAAAGAGTGAGAGAAAGCTTCTTCAACCCCTTAAACTCCAAAGATCCACAGGCCCAGACTCTACAGGTCTCTATTATTAGTTTCGTAGTACTCAATATTTCATAGAAGTTTGCTGAAAAATAAGCCTAGAGTTTGAGGGGAGACTTTTGCCAAAATTAACAAACCACAATGCAAACCTGTCTACTTGCATCCTATAGCTGTGTTTAATAGTCTCTAAAGTGAGATTTTCCAGTTAAAAAACTAAGAAAACCCCCTATCTCATGATGTATCTTGAAAGTGGGAGAAACTTTGGTAGGGGTGGGCAAAATAACAATATTTTGCCATTATCATGACAAATTATGTCACAATGTGCTCTTCTGAGCATATTGTGGATATTGTCAGTATTCATCAGTACTTCATTTCATCATAAAATAATATAAAACAGGCATAATTAGGCCTGTTTATAATAGTCATTATAGAGTTTGTAAAACATTGAAGAAAAATAATTGCAGTTGTAGATTATTTATTTTTATTATAGTATTTTTTATATGTGGCTCTACAGGGTTTATTTTGTCTGTTACAACTTATTAAATCTCACAAAAACTAAATATTGTGATGCATATAGAGTCTCGTGAAAACGTCTTTAAGTATTATGATATAATATTTTTACCATATCGCCCACCCCTAGCAGGAAGTTTAACTCCCCACTGGCTGGCTAATGCAGAGGGCACCCAGATAGCTAATGTTACAACTGAGAAGCCAAACAAAACATCTGTATTTCTTAGCCTCTCCATCAATGGTACATCAGTGGATTCATTTTCACCATGGGGGGATTCCTAATGATTGTATAATATATTTGCATAATGCATGCTGAGTACAAGGAAAAATGAATTTATATAAGTATCAGCAGATATAATTGCTTAACAAATATCAGTAACAGACAGATATTTAGAATTGACTGATATTTCAAAAACAATATTTGATAACATATTTACTGTACTGCAGAACATCAGAACATTTAGGTGCTGGGTTAAAACATTGTATTTATTTTCTTGTATTTGTAGCCTCACATAAATGTTGTGTTTCTCCATAATGCTAATCTCCATAATGCTAATGCTGATCTAGTCCCAGTTGTCAAGCCATTGATGCAGGTATGCGATGCTGCACCACAGAATATTACATAACATCATAAGTAACATCATAACTGCTAGCTTTAGGTCAGAATGCCCCTGTAAGGGATTCAAATTATTAAGATAATACATATCTATGAAAATACATCTATTAATATATATGTATTTATTTCTAATATATCTATCTGTCTAAAAATCCGTTATTGGTGATATTCTTCTGGATCCACCGACATGATACGTAAAACCTGTATTGTAAACTGTGTTGATTGTACAGACTTATACTCAAACTTACGTGGAAACTTCAGCAATGTGTTTATGCCTGAGTGTGACCCACAGGTCATCATCCTCATCCAGCAGCACCTCCTTCATACGAGTATCTTCCATTCCAGTAGTCTCGTACCTGACTCACAGGAATGCATTCACATACACATCAGCACGTCTGAGTCAAACATATACAATCGACAGAGGTAGAAAGCAACTTGTTTAGAAGTGAATGGCTGCATTTTACTGTGCTTATGTGAGTTTACTTGTAGACGTCGTTCTCAATGGGCAGCAGGTCATAGGCCATGGCCTGGAAGGTGAGCTCATGCAGCACAGGAGAGACTGGGTCAAACCCTCGGTCCAGAATCAACAGCTGAGAACGAGCCTTATCTGGTCCCTGAGAGAGAGAGAGAGAGAGAAAGAGAAAGAGAAAGAGAAAGAGAAAGAGAGAAAGCTACTGAGGCCAATCTGAGGCACTTTATTTTTACCAAAAAAGGCATTAACATAATGTAAGGCCATATTTCTGTAAGACATTTTGCCTCTAAGTCTACTTTACTCACCTCTCCTATAGTGGGGTCATCAGCTTTGTAGCCGTCCAGTTTGTCCTGCAGCATTTGGGCCAGAACTGCATTGTCCTTGTACTCTCTGAATACATACACACACAGTCGTATGATATTATACAATTAGTCTGTGCATTTTTCCATTATTTATTCACAGCTGGTTTGTAATTAACAGGGACCTCTAGATGGCAGTTAGTTTGGAATCACTGTTTTCAGTAATAGAAAATCAATGTTTCTGCAGATGGATCATTCTCCATTTAGAGGAGGAAACCATGTTGCAAAGGTTGTATGACTTAAAAAGATGCTTAAAATATTAGGCACAGCTCCAAAAGTCGGTATGTACATTTACACAGTTGACCTAAGATTAATTAACACTTTTCCCGTATAATTTCTCTGATTCTTGCTGGCACATGTCTTTAAAACAAAATACTGCTGCTGCTCTCACCCTCTGTATCTGACGGCGGGGTATTCTTTCAGTGTGGCGCAGAGAGTGGCGATCTGCTCAGCTAAACGCTCCAGCATCTGCGGCTTCACGTCTGCTTTGAAAGGGCTGTAGAAATCCTGAAAGGCACCGGGTCTGTCCACAGAGAACACCTGCACAGAGAAAACAACACAGCCGAATTCACAGACGTGCACAGCCTGGATTGATCATGATCATATATCATTTAATGTATGAGAGAAACACAGAGCAAATTAATTAAATTTTCCAATATGTTCAACCCAGCAAATAAATAGAAATTGTGAGCTAAAATTTACAGGAAAAAGCATGTTCCCTGTAAAGGACATGTAAAAAGAATAAAGCACGTAATTTGACCGAGAGTGTTTAAATTTTGCATATGCCTGTATGCTCTGTTGGACTCCCGGCCACGGACAGCTATGGTATCGTTAGAGATCAAACATAATAACAACATCCATGAGGCAGAGTTAATTAATATTACAGTTGATTATTAGAGTTAATTATTGTTAGAGTTAATTATACTACACAGCAAAATACTTACAAAAATTAGTTACAAAAATATTTTGTCAACCACCCGTCATTTATTTAATTTCTAGTCAAACTGGCCATTTCTAAGGAGATATTCATTTTTAAGGAGATATGTCTCGGGACAACTGCATAAGGAAGAGGAGTGGGACTCCTAACAGCCATGCAAGAGCTGGTAGACCACCAAAACTGTCCCCATCAGATAAACAACAATTAAAGCTTTCATCTTTGAGAGAGAGGAGAAAATCAAGCTCCACTCTTCCTACAGATCTGAACAAAATCACAGGTGATTCTCGCCATCCTTCCACTGAGAGAAAACAAAACTATGAGTCTGAAAGGATGTGTAGCTGTCAAGAAGCCCTCAGCGAGAAAAGGACATTTGCAAATAAAAAAAAAAGCTGCCGGTGTTCTCAGAACAATGGACTGACCACCTCAGAGTTCAGACCTCAACATCACTGAATGTGTTTGAGATTATTTGGATTGTGAGAAGCAGAAAATGCAACAAACTTCTTGTTTGAAAAATGAATGCTCTAAATTGATAAAAATATTGGACACTGATTTGTTTATTCTAAACTGATTACTGTAGTGTATATACAGTTGCCCGGCCTAATCCTCAGATGATGGTCAGCAGACCCCCCCTCAGTTTGACTTGTAATGTGTGTTATTTTAGCAAGTCTCTCTCTCTCTCTCTCTCTCTCTCTCTCTCTCTCTCTCTCTCTCTCTCTCTCTCGTAACACACTACCCTCTACCCACTGCCCCATCTGTCCCGAGTCACATGAACACCACAATCCCTCAGACAGCCAAACAAGTTCCTCCTGTCCCTCCCACTCTGATTGGTTGCTTGCTGTAATTTTAGCCAATAGGACACAGGATTAGCACTGGGTTAGGGAGGGTCCTTACAACCAGCCCCCGGATTAATTATAGAGGACAACAGCACACAGGATTGGAGGCACGGCGATGGCTGAGCTAAAGCCTCTCTGGAACATTCCACCATGGATTCCTCAGTACTTCATTCACTCCCCCTTCATTCTTTCAGCTCTCCATGCTTCCTCTGTCGCATCATCCCTCCTTTCTCTGGCCTTCCTGCAGTTCTCTGTGAGCCCCTTCGTGGAGTCTCACCTGTGACTCATACGGGAGGAAGGCGATGTTAATTTCAGTCAACGTCTTCATCACTTTGGCCGCACGGGATTTGGTCAGCAGGTTGAACAAAGAGTCAGGGACCGCTATAAAGACAAAAACAACAAGCAAGTTGAAATGACAGAGCCCCTCATATTTATTCTTAAAAGTACAGGTCTGTGCAGGATGCCACTTTGATTCCCCAAAGAATCTTTCAATGTATGGTTCTTCAGAGAACCACTTTGTAAATGAGGTGCATGAGTGTGGAGAACTTGAAGTTTAAAGAACATAAAGGTTAGAGGGAGAAGGTTAGAAGAACCCTAAAATTGCCACAGAACTTTTGCATTATGTTCAAGTTCTTTGAACCTTTTTTGTTCTTTAAGCCTTCTAGAAGGTTCTTCACATTCATCTCAATTTCAAACACAACTCTTCAGGGAACCAAAAGTGGTTCTTCTATAGCACTGCTCAAAGAACTGGGTATCTTTGTTATTATCACTGCATTTGTTTATATTTGTTTTGTTCTCTGTTCTCTGTAAGAGTTCTCTGTAGTATTTTCTGACAGTGGTGAGAGATGGTCTGGGGGAGGGACTTTGGAAAGGCTTCTTCAGAATCAATAAGAAGAGCTGTGGTGGAAAATGTTGGTCAGTGACTCTAATGTAACTCCAGCCGATTTGTGTTGATCTCTTGCTGCCTGAACTAAAAACCTTTCCAACTGCATCACTGAAATCAACAGTAACGGTGGTGGGCAAGCATGTGAAGGTGGTTTGAGACACATTGGAAATGCAGCAGAGGTGTAGGGGTGCACTGATCTTCAATTTGTCTGGCCGATTCAGATTTCTTTACGGTCAAATAGGCTGATTTTTGTAACCTGAAGTTCATACAGTGTGGGCTAAATGAACACATGAAACACACTAGCACATCTACAGTGCGTTCTGTCAGCCATTAATAACATTATTTGCCCTTTAATGAGCCAAACTGGAGTTTTAAGTTCATAAAAAAAACTGTTTAAATAATCAGTGTTACATTGAAATTAGTACAATTTGGTACAGGCATTCGAAGATAGCATGGGTGTACTTACCTGCCACATATTGTTTACATCAGAATTGCATATAGATTAGCCAAAATAAAAGTCTTGGCCAAATTAAATAAATAAATAAAAAATTGCTGATTGCATGTTTGGAAAAGAAATCTGCCAGTTTAGATATTAGCCGATTTCAACTGTGCATCCCTTCCCAGTACAAACAAAAAAAATACTTGTGAAAATGAATCACACATAATAAAAAAAGCTGCATACAACAGCTCTTGCATTGGCGCAGCATCAATCTCAGGATATTCCTGAAGAAAATTCCATGGATTTGCATATAGCTCATAGTAGCAGCGCTGATGATCTGATAAGAAATAGATTTTAGCAGCCAAGTGTAAATGCAATGTGAGTAAATATGGATATAGTCCATATATGATATGCATGAAATCACAAGACTCTAAATAAACTCTGAGGGCCAGATGTTTATACAAGTGCAGACCGCAGCGCAGAATGAGCCTTAATGTGGCTGCAATATGTGGCCACAATGAGCCTGAAATTAACGTCAGATTAACAAAAACAGTAGCTTATTATATAAACTGCACATTCTCTTAGGCCTTAGCATTTCTAGTCAGTAATTAAATGATCTTTAACAGGTTCAGTGTAACACAGTTAAATTAAATAAAGGATTTTTTTAATGAAAATGTATTAAACCATGAACAAATTTTATGACTGTATTTATTATATATGTCAGTATGTAAAATATGCAAAAACGTGTTTAAAAATGCATGAACAGGGTAGCTCGTCATTATTATTATTTTTTTTTCTATAGAATTGTGGGAAGACTGAAAAAATAACCATCAATAAATAAACATCAAACAAACAAACAAAAATAATAATAATAATAATAATAATAATAATAATAACATGGCCTATGTAATATAGCCTATGTGATATAGCCTTTTCCAGAGATAACTAAGTTAACAATAAGCACAATCCACATACCCACATATAAATTCACAACATTTTTTGGAAATTAACAGATTCATCAAAAAATGTACTGCAGATGTCATGTAAACAAATCATGTGGAATATGTAATCAGCCAAACTTTCCACATTTTCACCCATTGTTGGCACAATCCTCCCATGTTTTGCACAGCCCTCCCTTAAATGCATATGTATGAGGGAAGGAAGCGCACTCTGCATATTTCAATGCACATGGCACAAAAACTGCATATTGAGGCTCAGTTTTGTATGTAGTGTGCAAGCAGAATGCATCTGAATAGCATCCAAAGCTGGCACAAAAGGCTTAGTACATCGAGCCCAGGGTGTTCTGGAGTCAGCTATGAAATAACATATGTTTACCTTCAACAGGCTAAAACTGTGCAGTTTGTTCCAGAACGCCGAGATCAATCAAATAAATAAATAAACAGAACCAGAAAGAAGAATATTAAACTATCCCTTTAAGAGACTCACCATCTGTAAAGAAGACATGAGCTCCTCTATATATGGGGTTACGGGGGTCTCTGAAATCATTGATGAGTCCTTCCACAGACTGAAAACAAACCAAAACATGGTCAATGACAGACTCACTGAACAAAGAAGAAAATCTTTATTAATATAGCACTTTTTCTTTTAGTTATTATAGTGTAGTTTTATCGCTTCAGTACTCTCAGACACATACTAACCTAAATAATGTGCTTTTAATCTGGAACCTATCAAGCTTGCATCCCTTATATTCTCTGGAAAGCTGTTCCAGAGTTTAGGAGCTATATAAGAAAATTATCTTCCACCAACGGAGCTGTAAGTGATTCTAGGAGTAAGCCTTACTCTGCTGAGTGAAGTTGTCTGGCCAGGCTATAACGATTCAAGAGATCAGTAAGGCTGGAGCTCAGCCATTAAGAGCTCTAAATGTCATAAGCAAGAGCTTGTAGTCAAAGCAGAACAGGAAGGCAGTGTAAACTGAATAAGACTGCAATAAACTTTGGTAAGCACATGTGCCATTTGCATTCTGAACTAACTGGAGTTGATTTAGAGAGATAGCAGGGTAATCAGCCTTTTTAGTGGTCTAGTAGTTACTGAAACAACTAATTTTAAACATCTTGTAAGTAAAATGCAGTGTAATAGATATTAGTGATACAGGTCTGAAATAATAAACTAGCTATAGATATAACACTACGGTTATACTGAAAACCCATTATGGTCAAGGATAAAATCCTCAAACTTATTTCAAGCAGAATTTGTACTCAACAGCTGTAATTCTGTTTTGTCAGAATTCACACAATGTATGGTAGCTGGCATTTTCAAACAGTGTAAAAAAATATAGGGACAGATTTACTAACAGAGGCACTAATCTTCAACAGTATACTGACACTTTGTGCTGGTGGGGGTGTCCAATTTAGCAGACTACAACTACAACACAAATAAATACAGCCACAGCATATCGCTGCTGTCGGAACAAAACCTCCTATCTCCATTTTTCAGTTTTTGACATATTTTGAAAAAAACTACTGTCCTTTATATTGTGCATAAATTTTAAGATGGATGGACCAAAAGAAATGGCCCAAAATTACGTGGAAAAAATGTCTGGTTCGATTGACTTACATTATAAGTAAAGCATGTTTTTTGCTTCTCCTGTAAAGTTAGCATTTTGGAGATAAGAGGTTTTGTCCTGACAGCAGCGATATGACCAGTGCAATATAACCATGTGTTTGGCTCACACACTCTTAAAACATGGTTCTTCAAGGGTTCTTTAGGAAAGAAAATGGTTCTATATAGAACCATGGACACTCAAAGAACCCTTTGCATGATCAGTGTGCTGTAGATGGTTCTGAAAATAGTTCTATATAGCACCAAAAAGGGTTCTATTGTTACAAGCTTGACATCGTAATAATAAAAGGACCCTTTTGGGTGATATATAGATGGTGCTATACAGAACCATATACAGCACATTCTCCATCAATCTGAAGAACCCTATTATGATGCAAAGAACCCTTCGATCATGCAAAGTGTTCTTTGGGTGTTCAAGGGTCTATATAGAACCCATTTTCTTAACTAAAGAAAGATTGTGACTCATTAGGTTCAAATACTGACTTATTTTCTCAGAATTTGGACTTAGTAAGTCAGCAGGTGAGCTGAGATGAGCTGAGCTTGAGCTCTGTGCAGAAGCAAAACATAAGTAAATCTGCCCCATAATATGAAAACAAAGAGATATGAGGTTTGTTAAAGCAACTATGTATTTCATTATGTGGAAGACCTGTGGAAAAAGTAATGCTGAATGATGAAGACGCTCATTTGAATAATGGTAATCTGATTGGGATCCAATAGCTGCTGCTTTAGAATAATAACATATTATTATATTCTAATAGCGCCACTAATTTGACTACTGTGATTTTGAGAGATATTCTTACTATTAATAGCAATTACCAGAGATTAGAACAGTGTGACAGCACTCTCAGGTAAGGCCTCCAAAGATACCAGGCTATAAACACCTATGACTCATCACAGCAATATCAAACAGCAATATCAACAGCGAAATCAACATCAATATCTGAGATTTCTCAGTGCTCACCCAGTACACACATTTCATCAGGCCTTCAACATATTACATCCCTGTAACAGACTGAAGGCCTGATGAATGGTGCTATTTATAACAACTAGTGCTTGGTGATACTGCAACAGGCTATTAATGAAATATACAAAGCAGTGCCTTTCCTGATGAATTAACTGTAGAGTACATAATGTTGATTTCAATATGTAATTAATTTCCCAGTCATTCCCCTCTGTCTCTCTCTGTCGCTCTCTGTCTCTCTCTGTCTCTCTCTGTCTCTCTCTCTCTCGCTCTGTATGGATGAGGGCTAATGGAGTAATGATTACCTCATCAGAGGGGGTTATAAGATAAATGGCCTCCATGGTGGGAAGGGGCTCGCGTCGTTTGGTGATGTCCTCGACAACTGCAGCAGAGGAAAAGAAGAGAAGTGAATACGATGTGTTTTAGTCTCTTTTTGGGGACCAAACGTTTTCAGATTTTGTATAAACGTGATACCCAAGTTTGTCCCTATGAAGAAAAATACTAATGCACACAAAATGCAGTTTTTATTTGAAATACTATAAGAGCTCATCAGTGCTTACAGAGCTTATGTATTAAGGTTCAGGAGTAGCAACAGTAGAACATAAGGCAATGTAGTCATACAAGACTATAAAACTACACAATATGGACAAAATACAACACTGTGATTACACTACCATCCAAAAGTTTGGAATCAATTGTATAAAACCAATTTATTGCAGGTCTGTGTATTAAATGATTTTAATGTGATGATGCTATTCTATAGCTTTCAAACAATTTGTAGGAAGCTGCAAAAATTAAGAAATTTTCGATGATGCATGGAGCTGTTGATTTTTCTAAAAATAACTGCATGCCTCATATTTAAAAAGTGGTGACCAAATCTTGCTGATCAAAGAGCTCTTCATAGTTATCATAGTTATCTCATGACAAGACATTATTATACATAAAATATACCTGTTAAGTACAAATTATTTATTTTTCAGGATTTTTTAGGAAATTATATAGAAGTTAATCTTCTTGCATAAGGAAAGAAAAGTCTAAGAAAAATAATTGAAAAAACAGGAGTTTCCAAAACTGGAGTCCAAAAAATTATTAAAATATTGAGAAAAAGGGGCTGAACAGCCATGCAAGGCCTGGTAGACCAATAAAACTATCCTCGTCCCTAAACAGCACTTTCAGCACTTATCTTTGTGAGGTAGGAGAACAGAATAAATATTGAATAATGTGATTTTATATTTAGTTGTTAAGGCTTCTGTGTAATTATCTATTAAATCTCTGACTTTTGCACAGTACTGTAGAGAATTGTAGTTTATTATTTAATAACATTTGCCACTTTTTACCATTTCTTAACTTCTTCTTGTTGGTAAAATACTGTAAATTGTGAAGAAACCATTGGTTTACATTTTTCTGCCAGTCTTCACTGTAGAAGCTATTACTGAATAACAAAGTGATTCCAAATTTTGAACATATGTACGTGTATAATAGTGCATATTGCAACATACTACAACTGCATTGTCTTGCAATATAATAAAACATGCCACAGAAGACTTGAAGTGACATGATGAAAGACTGGCCTGCATTACTTTGATCAGAAATCAAAATTACTTCTGTTTGTTGGAACATGTGAAAGCTTTCCTTACACTCAGAAACACTCATCTGAAACCTCCAGAATGCTTGTAGAACTGTAATTGCTTAGAGGGCTCATTTGCATAATGCAGCTTTCTGCAATCAATATTGCAAAGGCCTATGCCAAGATAATAATTAAGAGTTTTACAGTGTATTGTAGGCTAAAAACACTGTACATGTCTGCATATCTATGTGTGAACTCACTTGTGATTCCTTCTGACATAATATCTGTCATTTTGCAGCAGGATGAGATCATTCTCATGCTGAGTTTGTCCACCACCAGGACCTGAGGAAGGGCACAAGCACATACATGATTATAGGCACAGTTAAAGAAATGGAAATGTAATGTACACATTTTTCCACTTACCCTAGATGAAGTAAATCAGCCAAGACTTGTTTGGAATCCAAATTGCATTTCTTTAGTTTAGTGCTGGAGATATGAGGCTAAAGTGCGAACAAACACTTGAAGTCAATAGTCACCCAAATCTTCTATAAATACACCATAAGGCCAGAAGTACATGGACATTTGACCATCACATCTATATGAACTTCAGACATCCCATTTCAAGACCATGGGCATTAATATGAACTTGGACCCCTCTTTGCAGCTATAACAGCCTTCACTCTTCTGGGAAGACTTTCTACAAGGTTTTGGAGTGTTTCTGTGGGAATTTGTGCCCATTCAGTCAAAAGAGCATTTGTGAGGTCAGGTACTGATGTTGAAGAAGGCCTGGTTCACATTCAACATTCCAATTCATCCTAAAGGTGTTCAGGAGGGTTGAAGTCAGGGCTCTGTGCAGACTACTAGAATTCCTCTACATCAATTTCACCAAACCATGTCTTTATGTGCTTTTTGCACAGCGACATAGTATTGCTGGAACAAACTGTTGCCACATAGTTGAAAGCAGGTAATTGTCTCAAAGTCAAGTCAAATTTATTTATATAGCGCCTTTTACAACAGATGTTGTCACAAAGCAGCTTTACAAAGAATCCGGGTCCACGCCCCCCGTGAGCAAGCCTTGGCGACAGTGGCAAGGAAAAACTCCCTCAACAGGAGGAAGAAACCTTGAGAGGAACCAGACTCAAATAGGGGAAACCCATCCTCCTCTGGTCGACACCAGATAACAGCACAGACACAAAACATCTTTGTACGCTGTAGCATTAACATCACCCTTCATCAAAACTAAGCAGCCGAGCCCAAACCCTGAAAAATAGCCCCAGACCATGATTTGTCACTAAGTGGCTCCTGGACGCTTGCATTTCACAATAATAGCACTTATAGTTGACCTGGGCAGATCTAGCAGTTCAGGAATTTCACAAACTGACTTATGGAAAAGGTAGCATCCTATGACAGTGCCACGTTTAAAGTCACTGGGTCGTCACTTTTCAGTTCGACACATTCTTCTGCCAATTGTGTGTCTAAGGAGGTGTGTCCATATACTTTTGGCCATATAGTGTACATCCTCAAATAGAGCAGACTTTGCAATGTGATTTAAAGCACAGTATGATTTACTGTTAAGTATAAAAATGAACAAAACTTCACAACAGGTTTATGGATGTTTGTTGTTTTTATTTATGAAAACTGGTAATCTTGACATTTCGAACGGAAGATGTTCATAAGTAGATTCACCAAGCCACATCAGGAAGTCTGTACCACCTTCATAAGACCTGTTGCAGTTTTAGTGGGCTGAGAGAAGCTTTGGAGAAGAGTTTACAGAAAAGATTTGGGTGACTATTGATGTCTAGTATTTGTTAGCATCATTAGCCTCGTAGCGCCAGTTTGAAATTAAAGAAGCAAAATCTGGACACCAAATGTGTCTTGGCTAAACGTCTACATCTGGGGTAAGTGGAAAATTGCATCAATTAGATTTTTCATTGAATCATTCTTTTAAGGACACATTCACAACTAATTTCTATTGTATACCATGTATATTTACACCCAGTCTGTGCAACACACACAGTAAATACATATTACAAAAATCATAAACCTCTATATTCAGATGTTCTTATAGAGAATACTGATTCTTTCCTAAATAACTGGTGGAACTTACCTTCCATTCTCCTTTCGTCCTCACCTTCTTGATGACATCATTCATAATCTCTGTGAACAGAAATAGGCAGTTATGAGAATGTAGATCATATAATAATAATGCAACACTATCAAAGGTGATTAAAGGGGAATTCCACTGATTTTTAAAGATTTCTGATTTTCTTTTCCTTATTATTAAGACGTGAACAGTCATTCAGAGTGGTTTGTGGTGAAATGTGCCATTCTAGCAGAAACTTACTGAGTCAGAATTGTACATAGTGGTGGTGATAAAAACAAGATGTCAGAAGAGTTTAATACCTCAAAAAAAAAAATACTTCACAGAAAGTTATTACACTAACTGTTTTATTAATATGCTGCATGATACCTGAGACATTGTTTTACACATAGTTTTGAGAAAGTTTTGGCTTAAACCTGGCATATTTTTAAAATGAACTTTATGGTAGAGAGTTATTTGCTATTTTACCATTATCAGCACTACATACTGCCACTGCTAGAACAAACTCTTGTATCTCCAATATTTATTTTACAAGAGAAGCAAAACATTCTTAACTTTTAATGAAAATTAATGGAGAAATTATTTATTTCAAATAATTTGAACTATGCAGAAATTTTGAAAAATCAGTGGAGTTCCCCTTTACAGATGATATGCACATGGGATAACAGCCAATTCTGTTAACTACAGAGGATGAGCTTTGTTCTTTTCCATTATATTATTCTTGCTGTGGGTTTAAATTCAGTGCTAAAAAAGAACTTCATTATTGCACAAAGCCCATATGGTTGACACTGCCGGTATATTAAAAAAGTGATGATGAAGGCTCGTCTGCCACACTCTAAATATACCAGAGAGGTGTGCGTTTAAGTGTTGGAACGAGGGCTCACACTCACACATTCTGACACACACACACACACAAAAACAACAAGCTCACACTTGCACTGATTGAGGTCACATGACTGATATGCTAGCTGTGAGGCAGAACACAATGAGAAGTATCAGTGACAGAGCTGGGTATCACAATTCAATTATTTTATGGTACTGAATTACTTTTCTATTGCCAAGTATTACGAAATTCAATTCAGTACTAGATTTCAACACCTAAGTAGTCATACCAGCAATCATAATTCAATAATTATGTTTCAAATTTGATGCTGGTGATTGGCTGCCTAAATTACATTCTCTATGTATACCATTAACATCAGTGCTTCTTGATTAGCCTGCAGTCCAGTAGCGTACCAGGACTATTGCAGCTAGGCCTTCAGTTCAGGCCACAGAAGTCAAAAACAAGGGAAAAACACCTCTATGATGATGCTAGTTTCTGCTAGCCCCTATATGGGAGTCCAGTAGGACTCTTTCTGTAAAGAGACGTGGCATAGAGCCGTCCATTTCTAACGACTGAATGAAATGCACTGGTCAGGCTACTACTCGTATTCACACTCAGCGACATATCTAGGACTTCTAGACGTCCTACAATGATGTTGATCTCGTTCATTGGAAATCTAAACTGGTTGATTGGTTGATTCCACTGTCACTTCCTAATCATGTTAGTGGTTAATCTGACAAGTTAGGCCTTTGGTCCAGCTCCTTAAGTCCAAACCAATGAGAGAGCTTGCTTGGCTGTATCTACCTAGATAAGAGAAATTTGATTTGATTTGACAATTTTCCATTAATCATTAGGCTACTTCTGAAAGCCTGAGGGTTCCCCTCTGCTGCAGTGCACTGTGGTCAGAAATGTTCAGTAATATGTATCAAAGTTAAGGTCAGTGTTGTGACTGGTACTGTAAAATTTTGAGTGATACCCAGCCCTAACCACTGCATGGTCCACACACAACAGTCTTATCAGCAACTCATACATCTCTAAAAACACACAAGTATGTCTGATGAGACTCAGCAATCAAAATTCTCAGAGCAATTTCAGTTCCTTCAGTTCAGTTTCTACTGTTAATATTTCCAGTGTGTTCTGCTGATGTAGTTTATTAAGGCAATACTCCAGTTGTTTTCAACCCTACCTGCTACATCTGTGGCATATGATCAATTAACACATATAATCATTTCTCTGTACTTAGTAAAAAAGCCAAAAAACCAGGTGACTCAAAATACACTTACAATAGAAGCCAATAGAAAGGTGTTTCAGCAACTTCTATTATCATCACCTTCTATTATATATCTTTAATACAAACAAGGAAATAAGTGTTTGTGCTAATTGATCATATACTACAGATAATTAAGCCTATTAAGCAATATAACCCAAGAGGGAGTGTGTTATCGTGAGCGACATCATAGCCGTGATTTGGTTGCAGGTACAAGCCAAAGGCAAATACAGGAGACCATCACAGCTGTGAGGCTGTTCATACAGCTTTGTTCTAATGTTTTTATACTACAGTTTCGCAAAATAAAGATAAGGTAAAGCAAAGGAAGCCCTAAATATCACATCAGATGTGCTTTAATGTTGGCTTATTCCTTCCACCATAAAAGTAGTAGCCTTCGACTCTACGGACACAACCAAACCTGTCTGAATATCAGGTTCAGCTCGGCTTTTTCCATACTTTCCAGATTAACCTGAATATTTTTTTGTTTCAGCCAGTCTGTAAAGCATTTTACTGCCCATTTTGTAGGCCATCCTGTTGCTGTATTCTGTTACAAGTTTCTGACTATTTCCAGTTTGTCTGGTTGCTTTGCTGTCACAGCTGCCGACTGATAGCCTTCTGAGGGGCATCGACAGGCTCAAAACTTGATGTAGGCCTTCAGAATCTGACTGAATGGCCTGCTGGTCAATTATAATCTTACAGAAGTTACCTAAAGTGTCCACATACTGTTTTTGTATATGCAAATGTAGAAACGAAGTAAAAGTTAGCTAAGCAAGTTCTTAGCAACTGGTGCTCAGCAGAATGATTAGCTGTTGTGAAAAAAAATTTGTAGAACCTCTCAATCAGATTGTATTGCCATAACTAACTGTTGGTTATACTTACAATTATTCATTTATCAGAATGAAGAAAATTAATCAGAAACACTAAAAGGAAAAACATAGCGATACGCTTCCTTTATGCTATTATTACAGTGTATTATTAAGTTTGAATGGTTTATTTTGTATGTGTGTGAAAGGTGACACTGTTAGGATGGACAGATCGTATTTCTTTGTGTAATCAAGCTAATGTTAGCAGAGTGGAAAATTTGTTTTAATTTCCAACCTGTCTAGGTTCAATTAACTACAGTAAGCCAATGAAAGCCAGTGACCTGCAGTGAATATAAAATAATTAGGTTAAATAGAATTTTCGCACACTTTAAAGCTCGTCCAACTTTGCAACAGAATGCATGTGTGGGCAGAGCATGGATAGGCATCATGTGACACATTTCCCTGTACTGAAACAACAGAAAACCCCTTGACTCAAAAGACACTTATAATAGGGACCAACAGGCAGATGCTAATATTCCAACAAACAAATATATGAACCAACATCTATTTGAACTGAAATGGAAAATATTTACTTCACTTCTTGCTAATTTTCTAATTTCTACTATGCTTATGTCACTACATCGTACCAAAACGACACACTTTAAACATCAAGTCAAAAAAAAAAAACCCTATTTGGTTCACTGAGAGAGATGCCGCAATCACAGCCCTAATCTCTTCCCAATCCTCTTACAGAACTGGCCCCGCTATTTCTGTTCTCTCTCTCTGTCTTTCTCTCCCCCCTCCCCGCTCTTACTCCCTCTGTTTGCCAAGGGACTACAACCATTTCCGCCACCTTTCCTAAATCTCTATTAAATCAAGAGACAAGTCACTTGGGTCCTGAATGCGTGCCGCCGCTGCTGCCACCGAACACATTTAACAGCTCTTGAGGCACATTCGGTTCCGCTGTCCAAGGTGTTGAATTAGCGAAAAACAAACAGAAAGAACTTCACAGTCATTAGCAAATTATAGCTGGGTGACTGATGAAGCTCCAACCAGGTATATATTGGTACAATGCCTGTCGTCCCATGAGATACAGCCCACTTGTTGGAGAACAAACGAAGTATGCCAGCCAGAGATGTTTTAATAGGGTTATTATTTGTCTTCGGAGACTTCAAACCCAGTTCAGACACACTTTCAGATCAGTCATGAGGGTTTGACTGGAGTGTCTGAGAGCCTCATATTATTAAAAACCACAATTCTGACCAAACCTAATGGATTTTTTTCAACAAGAAATCATTCACTGTGTTCAGTAACTACTTCTTAAATGTCTTATCAAAACCTCATAACTCTTTTTTCTCCCCCATAGAAAAATGACATTTTATGATGTTACACAGTTTTATTAATGCACTACAGTATAATATATAATCTGTAGATGAGCAACAACTCAGAATTCACCACTGGGGATGAGTGGACAAAGAATGGACAAATAACAAGGACTATCTCTGTGAAACTTGAAATGACAATGTAGCAATGTTAATTTTCTGATGTGAAAAAAAAATATGAAGATCTAATATTTTCTCATTTTGTTCTAAGAGTACACTCTTTAAAAAGATCGTGCTTCAAGGGTTCTTTAGTAAAAAAATGGTTCTATATAGAAACATGAACACTCAAAGACCCCTTGATTAAGGGTTCTTTGCATCATGAAATGGTTCTTCAGACTGATGGACAGCTCTATACGGAAGCTTTTTGAAAATGGTTCTACATAGCACCCAAAAGAATTCTTTTATTGTTACGGTGTCAAGCTTGTAACAAAAGAAGAACGCTTTTGGGTGCTACATAGAACCCTTTTCAAAAAGGTTCTACATAGAAGTGTCTACAGCACATTCATGCACATTTTCCATCAATAGGTTTCTAAACCTATTTCTTGACATTTGTATGTATTTTAAGCTATATTGTCAATTGAAATAATAACTTCAGTTCACAAAATTTCTTAAAACAAGTATAAACTGAAAGTACTGATAGCTTTATGTAACATGCAGTGCCTTGCAAAAGTACTCAACCCCCTTGAAAGTCATCACATTCATCTGCCTTACAAATGACACTTAGTGCTATCATATTTTACATTAAAAAACCGACCCTCAAAATCAATTACTTTAAAGTGACATTGTTCTATGTGAGAAAATATTCTGTGACAAAAATAACTAACAAATTGAAAAATTCTGTTTGCATAAGTATTTCACCCCAGTGGTGTAAACCTGGAGGAAAACTATGAAAATGAACACCAAATAGCATTCTAATAGACATACACAAGATAGGAAAAAGCTATAAAACAATATCCACTTGTTTGGATATTCCAGTGAGCACTTTTGGATCAATTGTGAGGAAAAGGAAGCTGCATGAAACCCCCTAGTGAGAAGGAGACTTGTGAGAGAAGAAACAGAGAGGCCAACAATCACTCAGGAGCTACAGAGTTCAGCAGCTGAGACTGGAGTGAAGGTGCACCAGGCAACAATATCAAGAGTTCTCCATACGACTGGCCTGTATGGAGGGTGGCTAGAAAAAACTATTACTGAAGAAAAACACATCAAAGCACATCTGTACCCAGCTAAAATGTGGGATAAGTTTTTGTGGTCAGATGTAACCAAAATGGAGCTTTCTGAGTTAAATTCCTCAACAAACATCATCCTGACAGTGAAGGATGGGGGTGGCAGCATCGTGTTGTACAGATTTTACTCAGCAGGGACTGGGCATCTTGTTAAAACTGACGGATCGATGAATAGTGAAAATTATAAGAAGGTACAGCAAGATAACCCTCTTTAGTCTTCTAAAGAACTAAAGCTTGGTAGAAGCTTCACCTTTCAGCAGGACATTGATCTTAAGCACAAAGTCCAGATCTCAAAATTATCAAGAATCTGTGGCGCTATTTAAAAAATTGCAGTCCACAAATGTCATCCAGCCACGCTGAACATCCTGGAGAAAATCTCTCCCAAACAGAGTGCAAAACCGGTAGAACCTTTCTTTATACAGACTTAAAGCTGTTACTGCAGTGAAAGGCAGATCTACCAAGGACTAGACTGAAAGAGTTGAATACTTATGCAAGCAGAATTCTCATTTTTTATTTTATTTTAAAACTCTGCTGACAAAAAATGAATTTTTACTTTAAGAATAATGAAAAAATGCTTTCAGAATGTCTGATTTCGAAATAAAATTACTGTCTGTGTAAGTGTCATCTGTACTTAGACGAAACCGATGACTTTGGGGTTGAAAACTTTTGCAAGGCACAGTCCCTTAAATCTTTATCTTAAATGATCTTACTAAAAATATCGCTTTTTTTGGAGGATTATTAGATGTTGCCTACATTTACAATGTTTTCACAAGCCAAGGTGTTTTTTCTAGCACCCTAGATCGTAATGGCAGCTGAATACAGATGAAGCACAGATATATACAAAAACACATACTTTGCTTATTACTGCTGTCATTATAAAAATATTTTTAGGCATTTTTAAAATTTTAATACCATTTAAAAATGTCAGCAGTGCTTTACATTTGTGTGAGACCAATAGAAATGCTCCAAAATTCCTTGGGAAGGTACACAAACAGATGTTAAGTTAGGGATGCTTCTTCAGTTAACTCCAGTTAAGAATTTAACTTTTTCAGCAACATTATGTTCAAGACTCTTAACTGAACATGTTTTCTTTTTTTAGCTTTAAAAAACAAAGTAGTGACAAAGCCACTTTGAAAAGAATTATCATTTCAGATTAATTCCATTTACAGCTATTATTTTGAAATGTCAATAACAGCCTATCTGAATGCATCTGCCGTTTCACAAGGTGCTTTCAAATGTTGATCCAGCCACTGTGATCGTCTGTATGGTCAGTTCATCCAAGTCTAAGATGTTTAGATCTCAGGTTCCAGTTGTCACTGTTATTCAGTGTCCTTCTTTGAGACAAATGACAAGTCACTCTTCATGACAGACTTCATAACCCAATTAAAAGCTTCTCTCCAGTAACCTCATTATAACACTCATCACTGTGGTCATCTCAGGGCTGCACAATTAATCTAAAGTGATGTTGCCCTCTGCAATCAGTTAATCATGAAGGGCTGCAATTACTGCATTTGATTTAATAGTACAGCACGACTCCTGCATTTCAATCAGGGGTGAGAGATATGACAATATATTATCATTCTCACAATAAATTACACTACAGTAGGTTTTTCTGAGTACATCAAAGGTATCACCAGTATAGCACACTGGCCAGTCGCATGCTTCATAAAGAAATCTGACTGTTTGCAAAAGTCCCGCCCCCTTCGTTAATGTTGCTATCATTCTGTTGCTATGTTACTGTGATCGATTACCAGCTTTTGTAAGGAGACTGTAATCAATAAGCAGTGATGTCACATGGTTGAATTAAAACTGTATATTAACAAGGAGCTGACTGAATATAATATGCTATTATTTAGCAATTTGTTTGGTTTCTCCACCTTTTCCCTATCACGCTAATATATATATATATATATATATATATATATATATATATATATATATATATATACACATACATAAATATGCAAACAAAAATATGGTCTGTGCACATTTTAAGATGAACATGTATAACATAAAACATGTATTTCGACTGGGCATATAGAGCCTATATATAGTATTGTGTGTTGTGAAATGTCTTCATCACATTTCTTGTCATATTGCCCACTCCTAATTTCAAGACAACTACAAACCAAAAAGCAAGCTAAGGATTCATATTACACTAAGTAGTTCATAAATGCACTGACAGTGTCTAAATATCACTGAAATTCCCACTGACGGCTCGTAAGGTGTTCTAACAGGTTTTTTGAACACACCATAGGTGTTTCCAAGCGATGTGTCGTGAAATGAAATGAACTGAAATATTTTGCACAGAATTTATAATCACAACCACAATAGAGCCCAAAATACACACATCAACATCTCCAGCAACATCATTAACACTAGCTGCAGCATCATCATCGTCAACTTATAATCATATGTGCAGATATTCAAATTCACTTTCAGAAACACCACAGTCATAGTACCCGAATCATAACATCTCTAAAGGAGCTGCTTTAACTCTTTTGATTTAACCTGCTAGGTTGTAAATAAATTACATTAATTCGCTTCCAACCAAACATAATAGCTCCAAATGAGACAGTTGTGATACTGTACAACATATAAACATCTTTAAACAGCGACTGACCCTGAATTTTGATTCTAGGGGTGTGTACCCTTGGCTGCCAATCTCTCAGAATGTCCTACACTCTTAAAAATAAAGGTGCCTAAGTGGGCTCTATGGAGAGATGCAATAGAAGAACCACTTTTGATTCCCTACATAACTTCTCTTTTGAAGGGTTTCCATCCAGTCATTTTAAAGGGGGGAAATCCATAGATTTTTCAAAAATCCTTCAACCATTGAGATGTAAACCAAATCATTCAGAGTGCATTAATGTGAAATGGTTTATTGTTGAGAAACGTGTAGGCTTGGATTTCTTTACAGTGGTGGTGATAGGTACCAAAGATCATGATGTCTACTATGTAAATATATCCACTTTATCTGCTACCCAAAATGATCAGTGAACCTACATGAGTTTTATATGAAATGTAATAAAAGTAAAATTGTGGTAAATCTGAAAAAATATGTTTTCTTTGGGGACTGCATTGCCTTGCCACACCCTGCATGTGCCATTCTGCATGAACAGGTTTGATAAGTACATTTTATCCCAAAAGCTAATGTCAGAACTATCATAAAGCAAGGTCTCGGACACCGGGCAGTGCATTCATGACCATTTCATGTAACAGATTTCTGTGAGGCTTTAAACACTTCAGACATCTGGTTCCATTCACCGCCACTGCAAATGGTTTGACATGGTAAGGTTCTCTAGATTCACATTAAACCACTCTGAACAACTTTTTGGACATATTAATGATTGAATTATACAGAAACTTTGAAAAATTGGTGGACTTCCCCTTTTTAAAAGTATCCTGAGTCATTGTGAAACTTGTCCTTGTTTGCACATGGAATAATAACAGTTTACCATGTTTGCACCTACGTACAGCAGTGACAGGACCAGGCCTGCCTGTCATCCCTCTAATCCGGGGGGAATACACAGATTAGCGCGAGTCTCGCACGACCGCGCGCGTGCGCCTTTGTCCTCGACATGCAACATTCGCTTACATAAAAAAACCAATAGAGAACATGGATGTTTGAAAAAGTGAAGCTAATCTAAACAGAGCAAACCGCTGTCTAGTACAGTTAAAGAGTGGAGAGCCAACATGAACCCACAGCTTTCAGATAAACAGCGATAGCCAACTGTGTGGTCAGTCATACAAAACATACAGTAACTTTTCCGCTGTAAGTCACACAGAAACACACACTGCAGCCCACATGACCCACACAGTGACCCCACTCACACCACTTTCACACCTGTGCTCAAGAAAGTCCACTAGAGCTGCTCAAACAGAACAAAGACCAACAACTATGTCACTGAATCTACAAAAATGAATCGTCCAGTTAATCTCTACATGACCTCATACTGCACGCGCTCGCCTCTTACTTTCTCCAACAATCGCCTTGAGCCCGAGAGGTGCCATGATGCTCCGGGATCCGACGGCTCCTCCGTTCACTCTTTCCCTCTGTACCTCTCTCGCTCTCTCTCCTTCTCTCAGCTTCAGCGCCTCTGTTTCCCACCTGTATTCCGGCAAACCCCGCCCCCTGTACTGGAACTGTCCAGATGAACTAACTCTGACAAACAGCTGACATTCAGAGTCAAACCCACAGTAAGCGTGCTCAACCAAACTTCCTCTCAGTTCCTCTCTCAGTATGTCCAACACAAATATTGATTTAGTGACTCTGGGGCCCGAGGCAAAAGACAGGAACTGAGCCCCCTGGATGCACATACACTGCAGAAAATGACACCTCGGCAAGTGACAACATTGTTAATGTTAGGGTTGTAAGGAGATATTGATACACTTGAGTATTGCAATATTATATTTTGTGATACTGTATCAGTTCTGTTGCCTTACAGCAAGAAGGGCCTGGGTTCAATTCCCTGGTCAGGCGACCGGGTTCCTTTCAGTGTGGAGTTTTGAGTGTTCTCCTCGTATCTGCACCTGGTTTCCTCCCACAGTCCAAACACATGCAGCCAGGCCTATTGGAGGCACTAAATTGCCCCTGGGGGTGTGTGTGTGTGTCCTGTGATGGACTGATGACCTATCTAAGGTGTTTCCTGCCTTCCACCCAGTGAGTGCTGGGATATGTTTCAGCACCCCCCATGACCCAGGAGGATAAGCAGCTTAGAAGATGAATGAATGTATCGATTCTCAAAAGCACAGTATTGATTTTAGTTAACAGTTTACATGCTGCACATGATTTTGTGTTGTGTTTAAACCCTTGACTGCTAGATAGTGGTGTTGTAATCTGTCTTTATACATTTTATGTATATGGTGGTGTGTTTTATTATATGATGACAGTTTTCCTAAAAGTAGATTTTAAAAAATCGCAGTATATCGCTTACAGTATCGCAATATATTGAATTGTTACCCTGTATCATATCACAAGGTTTAGAGTACGTCTTTACACACCGTGCTGATTTTAAAATAGATAATAAACACATTAATTATGTAAACACAATGGTGTTTCATTTTAAGATGATATTTTTTTACATTTAACAGGAAAGTTTTTAAACATATTCTCCCAAAATGGTAAAAAGCAACTGAATTCTGAATACTGCCTTTACAAATGTGACTTTCACTGAATACAGGTACTTAATTTCTATATTCTGATTATTTATATTCCATTAGATTCCAACCCTGGCTGGATCAGATGCTTTAGTGTTTGGTAAGAAGGAGGCAGCATTTGAGATGCAGACTGGAACTGCAATCTGCAGGAATGTAGAGTTCTGTGAAAAAGTATTTGCCCTTCACCTGATTTCTTCTATTTTTGCTAATTTGTCACATTTAAATGTTTCAGATCATCAAACTAATTTTAATATGATAGACAACACAAGTAAACACAAAATGCAGCTTTTAAATGATCATTCAATTTATTGAAGATAAAGATTTATTCAAAGCCTATATCACCCATGTGAAAAAGTAACTCCCCGCGCAACCATCCGGTTGTGCCACCCTTGGCAGGAACAACTACAATCAAGTATTTACGATAACTTATGATGATTCTTTTAAATTGCTGTAGAGGAATTGTGGCCCACAATTTTTTTGCAGAATCACTTTAATTTGGCTGCATTGTAGGGTTTTTGAGCATGAACTGCCTGTTTATGGTCTTACCACAGCATCTCAAAGGGATTCAAGTCAGGACTTTGACTCTGCCACTCCAAAACATCAGTTCTGTTTCTTTCGAGCCATTCAGAGGTGGACCTGCTTGTGTGCTTTGGATTATTGTCCTGCTGACGGGCAGATATTCTCCTTCAAGAATTTCTGGTAGAGAGCAGAATTCTTGGCTCCATCAATTATGACAAGTCATAATTATGACAAGTCATAAGTCCTGCAGAAGCAAAGCAGCCCCAGACCATCACACTACCACCACCATGTTTGACTGTTGGTGTGACGTTCTTATTGTGGAATGCGGTGTTAGCTTTATGCCACACCTCTGATTTATCAGTCCACAGAATATTATCCCAGAAGTCTTGGGGGTCATCTAGATGTTTTTTCCTGTATCACAGCTCTTGTATCTGGTGCTGCATAGATCCGGATGAGCTCTCCTTCTTTTGACCTAAGTCATCAGGCACACTGAGATATCCTGCTTTGTGAAATCCCCCCCTGGACTTCTGGGATGTCTGTCGTGAAAAGCAGCCAAATAAAACTGAACCGTAGATATGGCACCGCCCACTGGGCGGGGGGAAGGGGTCCCTTTGTGAGGATGATCTAATAGCCAATCCTAGCACAGGGGGCGGGGCTGACCGCAATACGGGTGGAAAAAAAAATAACTGAACATGTTTGCGTCCGTGTCTAATCCTCCGCCTCCACAAATCTCCTGCTGATGTAGGCCGGACACACTTCAAAGCAACACGTTTGCATTGTGTTCCTGTATTTTTGTACTGATGGTTTAATTGTTTGAAATGAAGCCCCAAACTACAACACTTTGACTGAGTCCCTCTTCTATACTTACTTGTAGCGAATTTAGCATGATTACAGCTACACTGTCAGGAAATATGGTCCATTTGCCCTCCAATGTACAAACAATGTACAGCCCTGAAATCCCGATTGTGCACCTTACAGGAATAGTTTTATGTATTTCTATAGCTCACATTAAGTCATACTGTGTCCTGAACCACATTAACAAGCCTGCACCACCTTTAAGGAAGACCTGGATGCGGGTTGAGAAGGTTGAGAGAAGTTTTATTGTATTTTTTCCAGAAAAATATTTGGGCTATTTGGGTGACTATTGAGTTATAGTGTTTGTTAGCAACATTAGCCTCTAGTTCCAGTTATAAGCTAAAGAAGCAAAAGTTTAAATAAGAGTTAAATTTTGCTTCTAAACCAAAGAGGCAACATTTGTAGAACTACTTCTTTAAAGTTTTAAAGTTACAATACAGTAACTTTCCCAGGAGAAAGATGCATAATTTTACATTTTCATAACTTAACTGTGTTTAAATAGAAAAATAAAATAAAATGGATTGGAATAGAATAAAATACAATATATATAAAATAAAATGAATGTAATAGTTGATAACCGGAACTACGAAGCTAACTGTTAATCTTTTTTGTGGGATAAATAAAATGAATAAATACGAAAACACACATGCATATTTTTAGGCGTCTTTTCCTTTCAGCCACAAGAGGGCGCCAAATGCAAACTTTGCCACTATGGCTTATCCTCTAAAGAACTGGATCCAAATAGTGACTCTTAACACGCCGCTTTGAGAATTTTCTGGCAAACTTTTCCAGGTGTAGATACTGTCAAAACATGCCAAAAGGATTTGTTGACTTTTCTTGAAACAGGCGTGGCATAAAAATAATAATAATAATAATTCTCTCATCTACATTCATGGCATATTTACATGTGAGGAACATAAACACTGGCTTTCACTGATTTGTATCAACAATCCTTTAATTCCAATTTATCTTCTATTGCATTGTCAACTTAACAGTGTTATCTTTCCATCTGAAATAAAGCCCCACCTGAGCTTAACGGGTGAGCTCACCTCTCTCACCCAGTCCACACCTTAGCCTGACCCATTGGCTCTGAAATGGGCAGGACTCCATAAAACCCCAATCAGCGGCGCTGAGGGTGTGTCACCGTTTTGGGCTGAAGCTCAGTGGAGATCTTATTATGAAACTCACGAGTTTCTCATGAGCAGCTCGGCCCGGAGTCTTTTTCCTCGCTGTTCTTGGAGTTGTTCTCCGGCAGGTTTAAAGCAGGGAGGAGGCGCTTCGAGCCGCTGGGGTTTCTATCAGATCTGAGGCAAAAGCAGTGAAAGCAGTTCACAGGAGCTCTGCCTGAAGTTCGCCGGACTGCTGGACAAACAAACGACTTCAGCGCGATGGGGGATGTGATCTCAAGCCACCTCGATGAGGGCAAACGGGAGATTATTACAGGTAGGTTTTCTCTGAAACGTGTGTGAGACGCGAGCTCCAACCACAAAGCCAAGTTTCTCTACTTCAACTGCAAATATTCAGTTGGGAAACTTCAGCTTTGTGGTTTCCGTTGCACGTTTTACGGTGAGGAAACGGACCCACACGCTGGAGTCAGGGCTCAGAGTGGGCAAAGCGGTGGCTGTTGAGACATTTTGGCTCTAGAAAGGGTTTGGGGTGGTCAAGCCCATTTCTCTCGCGCTTTATCTTTCACAAGGCGACGTGGCGAGCTGTTTCCTGTTACTTTTGGAGGACTTCAGCAAAGCCCGAGAGCCTGAAGGTTAACCTCGTTTAAAAGTGCTTAAAACTGCTGGTTCCACCGAGAAGACGCCAATCCGCTGGAGGCAGCTTAGAGGTATCAGTGAATCAGGATTTCTGGGTGGCATCGAGAGCAGAGCTGAACGATTTTAGAAGTGATCTTAATTGCGGTATTTCTGGCCAGTGTTGTTACCGCGATTTAGCTCCCGATTTTTTCCCCTCTTAATTTAAAGTCAGCACACTTGCATTAAATATCATGAAGGGCGATTCCACAGAAATTTCTGCACAGCTAAGTGGTTGAGATGTGAACAGTCAGAGTGGTTTGGTGTGAAATGCGCTATGAATCTTGCCTAGTCAGCGTTGTTTTCAGTGTTGGAGATGGGAACCAGATGTATGGGGAGTTTAATGCCGCTAAAAGCTCCCTCACAGAATGTTATTGCATGGAATGGTTACAAATATGCTGCCTGCTGGCCTGAGATACTGTTTAATGACAGTTTAATGTATTTTTTTTTACACGATGGAGTGTAAAGATGGAGTGTTTCATGCAGGATGTTGTGAGGCTATATATATATATATATATATATATATATATATATATATATATATATATATATATGTGTGTATATATATATATATATATATATATATATATATATATATATGTGTGTATATATATATATATATATATATATGTATATATATATATATATATATATATATATATATATATATATATATATATAATTTTCCCCTCAAAGAATTACCACAATTTTAACATCATTACATATAAACACTCAAACACATGTAGGTTCCCTGGTGGTTTCGGGTAGTAGATAAAATGGCTGGATGTTTAATGTAGATATCACAACCTCTGGGTCGTATCACCACCACTGTAAAGTACCCTAGAAGTTTCTTTACAATGAACCATTTCACAACAAACCGCTTTGAATGACTTTGTTTACATCTCAACCATTGAGTTACACAGAACTTTTGAAAAATGGGTGGAATCCCCCTTTAATTATTGCTTCTAAGTGCTTAAAGGATGAATTTAAAAAGTTAAATGTATATTTTGCACTTGTCACAATCTAAAGTGATGCAAGTCAAGCTAAGGTCCAAAACTCAGCTAATGATTATGGATTTTCTTTTCTTGTTGAAGGGCAAACGTAAGACCAGATGTCACTTAAAGGGCCCATATCTTACTTTTTTTTGTGTGGTCATTTACCCCAAATAGTCTTAATTCATGTCCATCCCCAATCTCTCTTTGTCCCTTTATTAAACAGCCTGTTTTTGTTACTGTGCCTTTGAGACAGATATATGTGAATGAGCTTTGTTATGATTGGCTGCCATGTGCTGTGCCTCAAAAAGCAGCCCAGTCCAAGCTGAAAGACTTCTGCTGTAACTTCAGTGTGAATGGGCGGGACAAAACTGCTGTAGGCTAAATAGGCCTACATATGTAAATGCGTTTGTTTTTGTGACATCACAAACAGTAAATTCGAAGTGGGCTGTTGTTCAGTTTAGTTTTCATATGTAGACTCCTTGGACCGGGGAGTAAACGGTATGCTTGGAAACTTCAGCAGTGTTTACATACTACATAAAACTCTTTTAAGGCCCTTTTAAGATGTTTTATGCAAGTGACCGCAGGCATTTTTTTTAAATCCAAGAACTTCAGCATATATTGCATAAAAACATAACATAAACATGTATTCCTCTGACTTAAACCTTCACACAGTTCACAATCCCCATGTTATTGGGTTAAATCCACCCACTTAACACTTGCCAAGACATTTTACAATTGAGACTGACACTCTTTCAGATTTCCATATAAAAACGATTAATCTTTCACCCCTACAAAGAAGCCTGATCCATGCAATTCCCTCAAAAGCTGATTACAGACTGCTTAGTTTTTTTGTTTTTTTTTCTGGTGGACACCCCAACTCTAGAGTAGATGTGGTCCAGTGCTGACAGCAACACTTCTTTATTCTCTCAACTTAAACCCAGAGCAATGCGATAAGATCTATGCAGGAGAGAAGTAAAGGACGTTAGATTGCAATGCTAGGGAGTGAGCGGTACCTGCCCCACATATCTGTTAACCTTTTAACAGACCTTTTGACAGACATGTGCTACACATGGAATCTCAGGAATGCTTGGGTCACTCTGTGAAAGTGGGGAGTGTCTCTAGATAACGTCATGCTACTATAACTCAGATAAACTTTACATGCGTTTGAAAGAGACATCCACCAATTATTCAGAACGTCTGCATAGTTCACCCAATAAGACGTAAACAAAGCCATTCAGAGTGGTTTGGTATGAAATGCTCCATTCTAAACAGTCTTATCAAGTCAGAATTGTTTGCTGTGGTGGTGATGGGAGCCAGACATCTGTAGAGTTTAATGCCTCTGAAAGCTCCCACACCAAGTAATTATGTGAAAGGGTTTAAAATATGCAGCTTGATGTCTGAGGCATTATGATAGTTTTGAGAAACTTTTGGCCTAAAACATATATTTAAAATCCATCCTTTGTGGAGATGGCTGTGAAAATGGCCGTGTTTGCATTGTAGACATTGCAACCTCTGGTTCTGATCACCACCACTATAAAGACATTTGAGTCTGTAAGTCTTCACATCACACCTTGACTTTCTTCTCAATGGTTGAATTATGTGTACATTTTGAAGAATCTGTGGAATTCCCTTTTAAGAAGCCATGCTCTCTAGGCTGCACCACTGGGTGCTTCTGACTGTATGTGTAGAAAAAGTGGTGTGGGAATTGCTGGGCTGTAACTTCAAAAGCCGGTTCCTGTCCTTTGTACATCTAGAACATGTGTCAGACTCCAGTCCTTGCGGGCTAAGACACTGCAGACTTCAGTACACTGCCTCATTAAACACGCCTGATTCAGCTAATTAGCAAGGCCTTCATGAACTGAATTCGGAGCATTAGATGAGGGTAAACGCTAATCCTTTGGCCCAGGAGGTCCTCAGTTTGACATGCCTGATCTAGAGTGTGGTCAGATCAATATGTGGAACATTCATAGGTGGATGCAGCATGTGGTCCAAGTTCTCACAATGTTCTAGACATCTCCCACAGTGTTGCTTGCAAGTTTTTAAAGAACTTTAAGGTCCATCTCTTACTCTGTTTAAGCTTCATTTGAAAAGACTTCTTTGCAAAAGACTGCATCCAAGACTAAACGTCCGGCTTACTTAAACTCGTCATACTCATTTTGTGTTTGCCCAGTGAGGTCATTCTCCAGAGAAAGGAGAGAATAGAGGCTTACTGTTTGACCCCACTACTTCCTGTGTAGTCACTAAACAGCCTAAAGGGGAATTTTAAAAGTTCTGTGTGGTTTAATTGCTGAGATGTAAACATCATCATTCAGAGCGGTTTGATGTGAAATGGTTCTTTGTAGAGAAACTTATGATCTCTCATTTTTTTTATAGTGGTGCTGATGGGAACCAGAGGTCACAATGTCTACAACTCAAATGTAGCCATTTTATTTATCATCCAAAACCACCAGTGAACCCAAATGTGAGGTTTTATATGTAATGTTGATGATTTGTAAAATAGTGGTAAATCTAGAAACAAACGTTTTATTGGGGACTACTTTGCCTTATAACACCCTACATGCCTCTGTCCACCATTCATAGATTTAAAAAGTACATTGTAGCCCAAAGGTTATCTCAAAACTATCATAGAACAATATCTTGGGCATCAGGCAACCTTTTGTAATGTTGCTTTTAGAGGCATTCAACTTTGCACTGGTGGTGATAGGAACCAGAGGTCACCTCAAATATAGCCATTTTATTTACTATCCAAAACCACCGGTGAACCTACTTCTTCTACGTCCTCTGAGTTTTCATGTGTAATGTTGAAAATGGCAGAAGAGTGGTAAATCTGAAAAAAAAACTAAGACTATTTGTCTTGCAAACACCCAGTGTGTACCTCTCCATCATGAGTGGATTAAAATAAATGGATTAAAATATGTTTAAATCTAAAACATTGTCACAAATCTATCGTCTTAGGGGTCAGGCAGCAAATTCATAACCATTTCATGTAACAGATCACCCTTGGGTAGCTTTGTAGCATTAAACTTTTCAGATGTCTGGTTCCTATCACCACCAGTGTGAACAGAACATTTCTGACTAAGTTTCTCGAGAACAGAGCATTTCATCTCAGACTGTTCTGAATGACTTTGTTTACATCTCAATGATTGAATTATGCAGAAAATTAGAAAAATTGGAGGAGGCTTTAAGTCTTTAGCAAGCTTTCTACTGCAAGCTTAGACAGATCTAGGAGTCTGTTACACTGGCAGCCAGTTTAACCCCATACACTGCTTTAAATAGTGAGAGGTCAAGAGTAAGTTGATTTCTGACAGGAAGTGCTGCAGTTTCATTTTTATCCCCCCGGGCAAATGTTTTAGGGTTCTTCTGTGAAAATAAGGGGGGTGGGGGGTGGGGAGGTGTTTGTGTAGCTTTAGAGGCAGGGCTCCTCCAGCTGTTCCGTTTTGTGGCATGAGTGTTAAAACGCTTTGTTGTAGCATGATCAACCCTGCCCCGAAATCACTTCCTCCTTTGTAGCCTTCAGAGCAGAGGGGGAGAAAAATGTACGTGTTAAGTTTACATGTGACCCCTTGAGCTTTTTTTCCTTCACCAGTGAGCAAATTCTTAGTCACCCACAGAACTGGCTGGAAGTCCTTCAAATTCCGAGACTCCTTCT